TTTTCAGCAACAGTTATGGATCTAGAAATTCTACCAACAATTATTAAAATAACCCCTTCATTTGTTGCATTTCAACAGAATTGTTTTTCACAAAAGGAGTGCAGGCTGCAAACCTTTCTCTTTCAGCTTCTGTTCCCAAGAGTGATATTTGTTCCTATGCTGCCTCACCAATCTGCCTTCTTTGTGCTTATTTAAAAATACAGCCTTAGCTCTCAGAGTGACTACTAGCTTTTTGGATGACAGGTCTGGAGTATCCAGCTTGAACAGGCTTTCCAATGTAATGCTCTGCTGCAAAGCCGTTGTAATCTTATGCATGGTTGGAGCTGAAGCCTTTTGCTAAGGGAAATCATAATGGCTCTTATATGCAGAATGTGCCCACACACCTTAGAAAAGAGCATGCAGGAATAGAGGTCTATGTCAAAAAGAGCTCTGGAGTGGTTGGCCGCTCCCCCACCCATAATCAAGATACTTCTCATTACTACCCCTTTGAACTTCATCTATTACACTCCATTTTTAAAGATGCAAATCTCCTGCTGTTCCAGCTTTTCCTGATGCAGATTCCCTCCCTTCCTCCCCCTTTCCTTCCTTGCCCCCTCACACTCTCTTTGCCTCTTTCCACACCATTTGTCCTTCTCTGTGGTAAGTCTCTCTTAGTACTCCTCACCCTCCCACAGGACCTTTATTCTTGCCAATTTCTTTTGGCCTACCATCCATTCCAGACTGCACAGTCTCTGCTGTACCTTTGTACTCCTCCTTCCTACCACATGAAACAGTGCTGTCTCCTGCTTCCCTCAACTAATTCAAGAGTTTGCCAGTACTCCAAGCCATTCCCTAATGCCTGACCTGCCTGTCCAAGCTTCCAATTTCAATCCTCTCCTGGCACAAGAGTCCTCATCAATATTCCCAATAGAAGTCCTAATTTGCATTTGACCCACTCTCACAAATGACTTCTGCTTTTACACCTCATTATTCTAGTCCAATTCTCCCCAGACTTTTCATAGGCAATATGTCTCTGGATTCACTTCACACTGAATGACAATCCGGTAACTTTGGTTATTTATTTGAATTTCTTCAGGATGAACACCACCTCTGGAAATCTTTGTAGACTTGCATCTTTGATGATATCTTTGAAACACCTACTTCACAATGTCTCAAAACTCCCAGTCTCTAGAAACAAACTCTCCAAGGCTGCACCTAGAGAGCATACAGGTGCATACTGGGCTGAAACCTTCCTGGAAAACACTGCAGTTTCTTTCAAGTACTCAGGCTCAAGCTTCCTTCCCAGGAAAAAAACTGTTACATACACAAGTCTCACTCTGGTATGGAGCTGGGATGTGGCCAGGGCACATATTCAAATTTCAGAGCTAGGAAATAATACTGGCTCTCCAGTTTAGCATGGCATCTGAATCAACTTTGATAATTACTGTGGGCTTAGTGGCAAAAACCAGTTCTATTGAAAATGACTCGGTCACTATTTCTTCACATCTACAGGAACATCAAATTTCCTGGAGAGGAAAGAACACTATTGAGAGGGACTGGAATCACCATAGACTGCAATTTGCCTGTCTTTCTTACTATACAGTCACATACACCATCTCTTCTCATCCCCAGTTTCTTAATGCTTTTGCACTTCCTTTTTCTTGGCTTAGAGTTTTATATCCAACATAACATACACAACATTTTTTTGCCAATGTGTTTTTCTTTTTTTTTTTTGCCTCAAGGCCTCTTTCTTATCCCCCTGGTTTGGCTTCTGGAAGAATCAAGTGGCAGACTGGTGCTTGTCACTGGTGAGAAAGGTCACACAGTTTGCTGCACAGGCTGCTAGAAGGGTGAGAAAATGTTATGTCCAGGCTGTGTTTGAGAAACAAGGCCATCTTTAAGGCATCGTAATCTGTACCGCAGAAAACAATAAGTGCTAAGTAATTGGGATTTGGAAGCCATGTATATGGATGTTCATGCACATGCTCTTAGAAAAATAACCAGTATCTGGCTATAGCACAAATACCTATTCAGTCACTTATGAGAATACTTAAGAGATCAAGTTTAGCTATGCCAAAATCTGTCGTTAAACATACTGCCAAAATCATATTAAACGCCATACTTAGAGAAAACAAGTGTTCAAAATTTTCCATCTTTGGAATACAGACGGAAGTCTAGCATTAAATAAAATGGCAACAGAATTAATGTTTAAAGAGCATATTTTAATAACTTTCAATCTATTTTTACATGATAAATTTTATTGACAAAATAATGGGCTTATTATACATCACAAGCTGCCACAATATAATTAAGGCAAGGATAGGAGAACAGAAGTACCTTTATTAATTTCCTAGGTTATTTTAATCAAATAGGTATCCATTTGAAACTACTGATCCAATAATGAAACTATACCCAACTTCAAGTACTTAGTTTCAGTTCTGACTTCCAGTGTGTATCCTTCAAGGAGATTTTTTCACCTGTGTCTTCATTTCCTGTAAGGGACTATACTCCTATGACTTCTGCAAGTAGGTTAGATGAATTATAACAGGGTTTTACAAGTTCTACCTTTTCCTTGAAGATTTTCAAAGGAAAAGGGACAAAGTCTTTCAAGCATAAATAAAATAACTGCAGATAATTCATCATTTATATTCTTAGAAATGTCTCTTCATAACAGGGTATGGCACAGCCTCCCCCCAAAACCTCAATGCCATCTGGAGAAATAATTAGTACAGGTTGAACATCCTAAAGATTTTTAAATAGTACCAAATTGTATAATTCCTTAACAGTCTTCTGCAGAGCCCAGCTAATTTAAGGCTACAATAGTATAATCTGGTTATTTGGCAACTATCTGCATAAAACCATTTCAATAACATTGGGAAATAATTTTCAGAAAAATACTGAATGACTTCAGTTACAGTTTATTCTTTGTTTCTAACCCATGAATTTCCTCAGCTGACAGTACACTGGTGGAAAGTAGGAATTTTCTCATCCTTTACTATATTTCGCATCTGTGTTTTAGAAGTTTAAATCTATGTTATCACTAATCATTACAATTAGGTTAATACTGTTTTCTGTAATTAGTTTCTAATGAACATATGTTCATTGACAAAAATTGCAGCCTATATGATATGCCATTTGAGCTGAAGCTGCGTGAGAAATGCTCATCATAAAATAACTCCCATTTATTTTGCCTAAGCACCAATGCTGCAAACACTTATGGATGAGCCCCATTTTATTGTTGTGAAGAAAAATTGATTTAAATAAATAGAAACTCTCAAGACAGTATGGTAAAAGTCTAATTGAAGTCATGTCTGAATTGTTTCAGCATGGAGCAAGGAGAGCTGCCAAGTGTGATTCTTAAATATTTTAATATACATTCTGAAGTAAATGCTCTACTGAACAGAAGCTGAGACTCAGAAGTCCTGTCAGAGAAGCACCTCTAGCCTGTGTCCAGTGCAATGCTGTCTCCATCATGGGATACTACTATAATGGAACACATATCATCGGTAGCAAAAAGATTGCATTTGGTCTTGTATAGACCATTTTATTAGTGAGTCTGACTTTGTAGGTGAGCATTTTGGCTATGTATTTATTTCTATTGATATTTAATGCTGATACTTATTCCTAGATATTTATTAGTGTTTATTAATATTTCTGTTGTAGTAATCAAGAGAAAGCTTGGACACTGGTCATGACTGGGATTAACAAAACATATATCGAGATTTGAGAGTTATTTAAAGAGATATATAATAATAAGCCAAACCATTAAAAATTCAAAATTCTCTTTGACATTTTTTGACTTAAGGATGTAGTCACCCTTAGTGAGATATTCTGTGGTCTAAAAAAACCCATTAGGATTAGTATAATTAAGGCTATGCTCTGTGTTGTTTTACACTTTGCCTGAAATGATATATATATGTATAGACATACATTTTTCAAAGTGTATATATATATATATCAGCACCTGGTTGTGATCCTCCCTTCTCTCTTCCTCCCCTCCAACCCCCCCAGTCTAGCTAGGCCTCATGTAGATCTATTTTGCTTAGTGTTCTTTTGCATAACTGACCTCGTTGTAGGTGAAAGAAGTCCACCCAGGCCAATCCCATGAAATAAGGAGGGCCTTTAGTTTTTACTGTTTTCTGAGCAACAAGTGACAGAAAATAAGTGCTCTAGGTGGTATTTTTATTTGAGAATGCAGGGCAACGATGGAGAGAATCCAGGCAGGTGGCACATCGGAAACTACTTTTAGTGTGCAAGCAGGCTAGGTTTTAGACGAGAAGAGGCCCATCCTAAGGACCATGCTGAGGAACCCCGCGTTTCTGGGGCGCCCGAGGAGCCCGGCTGTGGACGACTCGGCCTCGGACCCGCCCCGGTGACCCCTCACTGGAAGCGGGGAGAGCAGCTCCCCCCCCTCCCTCAACGCCCCGCTCCCGCCGCCGGGGAGGAACTGTCCCACCGCTGTCTCGGGTCCGTTTCACGGATACGACGGGGCCCAGCCCCCGGCCTCAGCAGCACCTGGCGGGGCGGCCGATGCCCAGCCTCACAGTCTCTCTCCCCTAAAAGTGCGAGGCATTATTTTTGAAGGCGCCCAAAATAGCGCGCGGCTGCTGCACAAGTCTCCTTATTATTCCTCCGGCGTCGGCAGTAAATCAGGGAAGATGATACACCTCCGCCGGAGCCGCTGGCGGCGGCCGGGGTTTTGGAGAGGGTGACGGTTGCCGAAAGTGGCCGGTGGGCAGTGGCGGCTGCCGGAGCTGGGGCGCAGCGGCAGCGCAGGCGAGGGAGGAAGAACCGCCGCGGCGACGGCCGTTTCCCCTTTCCCCAGCCCCGGCTCGGCGGGCGCATGCTCACTGGTGCCCGCAGCCCTGGACCATATTTGTCAGAACTACTCGAGAGACGGAGAAAAGAGAGAGAATTTGGGGGGGTAAGGAGCGGCGGGTTCCGAGCTAATCCGCCAGCCGGGCAGGGAGCGGCAGCGGCGAAGGCTGGCGATGGGGTTTGATTTTCCCCCTCGGTGAGGATGAAAGTTGGGAGAGAGCGCGAGAGATAAAGGGAGAGGCGCACCTCCTCTCCCTCCCTTACGAAACGTATCTGGGGAAGGGGAGGGGGCTTCTCCCCCACCACCTCGGGCAGGGAGGATGGAAGTTAATGCTGGGGAAAGTGGGCAAGTGACTCGCAAGTGGCTGGGGAGCGGCTGGGGCACCGGGGACCGCACTAAATCATAAGTGTGCGAGTGTGAAAGAGGAACAAAAGAAAGAGAGAGGTGCCTGGTATTTCTTTTTCTCTTCCCAAACACACGAAGGGTGTACATGGGTAGATGTATGCGCTGTGTATTTATATACGCACACGGGCACGCACGCACGTATGTGTATGTACATATATATCTATCTGCGGGGGAGGGAGCTGTGGAAATGTGTTGGGGGGGCCTTTTTGGGGAGTGGGGGGGGGAGTGGGTTCCGAAGTGAGGGGGAAGGGAAGGGGAGAGACATTTTGCAGACTTGCCCCACCAATGAGCTTGTCAGTTGGCTCCATTTAATGACACTTACGGGGCACCGCCGCGCTGTTGGGAACAATGTGATGCGGGTGCAGCGGCGGGGTGGCGGGGGGGGGGGGGAGAGGGGGGACGCGGACACGGACACAGACACGGGTGTGCGTGTGAGCGCCGGACTGGGAGCGAAGGAGGGGAGGATGGAAAGAAGGAAGGAGGGAGGGGGCTCGCTGCCACTCGAGCCCCCCCTCTCCAGCCCCGGCTCTTTGTTCACACAGACTGAAGGACGTGGAGAAGTGCGGGCTGCGAGGGGGCAATGCTCGCCGGAGAGGGGTGTGAAGGAGCCCAGGGTTGTTTTTCGGTCGGAAGCGGCGGGAGGTGGCGGCTGCCGGGATATACCGGTTGAATGTGCCGTGGGTTCCCGTGTGCGAAGGCCTCTTCAGCGCTCAGCGGAGTTTGTGTTTTCCGTCGCTCCTGCACTTTGTGTGATTGTGTGCGAGAGATATTTAAAATATAATCATCTCCCAATTTCCGCCATTTTGGGGAAAGTTTGCACACACATACACATACCAAAAAAAAAAAAGCTTCTAGCATTTTTTTTTTTTAAGAGGCAAAAAAAAAAGTCTTTTAGCTCGAGTGCTCAGTTCCTGCCTCTGTGCGGTGCGTGCGCGGCGCTCGCTGCGCTGCGGCAGACACGCGAGGCGGCGGCGAACGGCCCCTGCCCGCTCCGGGCTGCGGGTGGCGGCGGGGCCGGCGTCTGTCACCGCCGGCGGCTCCGCGGGCCGGCCTGGGGGGCTCCAGGGGGCTGCCCCGGGGTGCCGGCGGTGTATGTGAGTGCACATACATGTGAGTGCGCATTTTGCTGGGGGGGTGGTGAGGAGGGCTGGGGGCAGGGAATAGGACGCGGCTTTCCTGTGAAGTTGCGCGCTCTCGGCTGGAGTGCGGCCGGGCTGGGGGAGCGGCCCCCGCGCACAAGCGTGTCTCCCTCCCCGTCCTCGCAGCCGGTGCACATAACAGGATATGGGCACACTTGTTCTCGCTAACGTGTGTGAGGTGGTGTTTTGTTGGCCGGGGGAAAGCGGAAAGCGATTTTTGGAGGGATGGGGGGTGGAGGCGGACGACGGGAAGGCGCTCCGGCGGAGCCGGGGCCGGGGTTCGGGAGAGGCCGCCGGGGCGGCAGCGCCCGAGGGGGGGGGCGCCGCGCCGGGGCCGCAGTGGAGCCCGCTGCCCACCGCCATGGCTTTTCCCCCTTTCCCCGTCGGAGCGGGCGCACACGAGAGCGTGAGAGAAAAAGTTGTAGCACGGGGCCGGGCGCTGGCGGCTGCGGGGCTGGCGGGGGGCGAGCCCTCTGGGGGCGGTGTGTGCCCGCCCCGCCCTCGGGAAGGGGCGACCTCGCCGCCGAGGGATGCGCGGGGATCGGCTCCGAGCGGCCGGGGAGCAAACCCCAACAGTTTCCTAGGAAAAAAGAGCGAGCTCGCCCCCCTCCTCCTCCTCCTCCTCCGCGCTGGGGGAGGGGAGGAGGGAGGAGAAGGTAACATTTTTTTCAATTTTCAAATATATATTTTTTTTCCTTTCCCCTAGGAAAGAGCCTCCTTTTCCCGGATTCCGTTCTCGGGGGGGCGGAAGGAGGCGGGGGGGGGGGGGGGGGAGGGCTGGGAGTTAAAAAAGCCAAGGACCCGGTAAACAAGCAGAGTCCCTCTCTCGTTGTGCAACTTCCTCAGGAACATTTAACACCCAGTTCCTCTCCAACCCCCTTGCACGGCGCTCGCCCCCTCTCCGGGCAGGGGCACTCCCCCTCCGCTGCCTTTAATTGCCCCCGGTGGGGGTGTGTGTGGGAAGGCAAATTCAGGAGAGAAACGGAACAACTTGAGAACCGCTTTCCCCGAGCGCTCCGCGCAGGATTCGGCCGTGCGGGCGCTTTTGTCTCGGAGGTTCTGTCCAAGCCTGGGGAAGACGCGGACCTGAGCCCGGGTTTTCTCCAGAAAGTTTCAAGTGCAGCGAAAACACGCCGCAAAACTGGCCAAGGAGGGACCTCTGGTGGTAGGCCGCGGGCTGCCGGCGCCGGGGAGCGGCGGCCGCGCCCGCCGGGCCTCGCCGCCGCGTTCCGGCTGCCGCGCTGCGCCGCGCCGGGAGGGAGGGAAGGAAGGCGGGAGGGAGGGAGGCAGGGCAGGCTCCGGGTCGGCCGCGACCCGGGCCCGCCAGCTCCCAGCCGCCTCGCCGCGGGTGGGCCCGGCCCACGGCCTGCGTGGGGAGCGGCGCGGGGCGCGCCCCGTGGTCGTGTCGCTCGTCCCAGTGGAGAGCGCGGTGCGAGCGGCAGCGGGTAGCGCGGCTGGGGAAGGAGGCCCCTGGAGATGCGGCAGCCTCCCCGGGTGCCGGGGGTCACAGTCTCTTCCATGGTGTTAAATTACCTGTGCTTAATTAATAGCATGGGTGTGTGTGTAAGCTTTACAGTGAAGGGTACCACGAGTTCCATTTTCACTTTTTTCTGTTTTCCTTCTTAATTTCCCTCTTATGGTTGAGTGGCGTTGGACTGACCGTTTTTGCTGTTTGTTTCTACTCATGAATGGGTGCTTAGTCGTGGGTGCTAAAAATCAGGTGGTGAGCATAAATAAAACTCGGGATACAAAAACTTCAGCGTGTGCTGTTTTCAGAAATAGTCTGCATTCAGGATTGTGGCACAGTTTTCTCAATGCAAATTTAAAAGCTGTTCAGGAAACTGGTGCGTTTTACCAAGGAAGTTATCAGGTTCACAGAAGTTTGTGTGATGAATATCTGTCAGAGAGAAACTCCCTGAAACCGGCAGCTGAACGCAGTAAAGCACTCTGCTTAAATCGGGTGGTGCGGGTATTCATTTTTTCCTGGTGTGACTTCAGCAGTTTTGACTGTGATACAGTTGGTCTTCTCCTAAACTGGTGCTCTAATGAAGGTGCCCAAACCAATCATCTTGGATGGTTTTTGTTGACAGTTGGACAATTGCAGTGAACTCTGGTTTTGTGTGTTGTTGTGGTGTATGTTTCACCTTCAGCTTAATGAGTTTTTCTACTGCTGCTTTCAAAAGTTCTAGCAACTTAAGAAAATGATTATGTGATGAGTCCTTTTCCTCTGACTTGTTCAGTTTTATTGGGCATCGCCTATTCTGTGAAGAGAGGCTGTTCACTTTTGTGGGCTATTCCATTTACTGTCTGGGTTTTTTAAATACTGCTGGTAAGGATGATGGATTGCGAGTGGTGGGTGTGAGGACCCAGTCATTACCTGGCATGGGGCTTCCTGAGAAGTTTGATAGTGTGTGTGCATAGTTGTAGCTTATTAGTGGTCCAATGGTAAGACTGCTCATTGCAATGGGAGAATTGAGCTCTTTATGAGGGAGAAGGGAAGGTCTCTAAATGCAGTAGTCTGTTGAGTGTATTTAGGAGCTAGAAAAAGATGAATTAATTGTTAAAAGGACAGCAGAGCTCATGGAAGCTTCTGAGAACTGGCAGAAGAGGAAGAGCAGGGCATGAGTCAGACAAAAGGAGCCTTCAGACATACATTGAATTAACTTTGTGTAAAAAATAACAATATGAAATAGGTCAGGTGATAGATATTCTGTGAGAAGATCTGGTGCATCACAGTTCTTCTCAAGGAGGTGTCTGCACAGGAAAGGGGTCACAGATACACAAAGGCAGAAATTTTCTGTAACTTTCTGTGCTTGGTTCAAGGAGTTAAGAGAAACCAAGACTTTTCAGAGTTGTTGTACTCAGGTGTTGCTATCTGAGTAGGTTAAACCTCCACCGAGGCCTGCACAGACAGTAACAGAAATAAAAGTCATGAAAGCATTGCAGAGAAAATAATTTTTGGTGTGAAGTGCAGGTTCTTTATGAACAAGATGAAAGTTGTTAGTGGTTTGTTTCATTAGATGATGGGATAGCTTTGATATTGGGTAACTTGTTACTGTAGAGTTCTGTAGATATTTGAAAATGAGGTGGTAGATGAAGCTACATGTAACTGTGTTACCCCATTTCTTTCTAGCGATGCTACAGCAATACCTGTATTAGCTTGCTGACAAAGGTAAGACTCAGGTGAGAACAGCATGAATCTCCTTTAGCACTAGTGTAGACTCGGGCTTCACAGCATTTTGAATGCATCTATGTCCAGATTCATCCTGTGAGGAAAAAGGTTTTAAGCTAAAGTATTGGGAAGCAGGAACAAACAGACACAATACCCCTGAAGAATCTAGCAGGCAGAAGAGTAGCAACAGATAAAGAAGAAGAAATAATGCTGAAGGGACATCATCAACTGGAAATCTGGTCCGTTTTCTGTAACAAGTGTTAAGAATGGCAAAGATTTTTAGGCTGTCGTCCCTTTGTGAGTATGTATAGAAGCTATGTACCTTTAAATTAACTTACTGGTAATAAACATCATAAGCAACTGGCAAATTAGTAAAATTTACTCAAACAGCTCTTCAGCGTACAGACCAGAAAAATGGCAGAACTGGTAATGTAGTTCCTAAACAACAAAAAAAAATGAGACTTGGGAGGAAATGTGTCATCTACAGGTATCATTTTTAATGAAATAAAAAAAATAGTTGAATCATTGAACAGGTATAAAGCAAAGCGTATATTAAAATGTGAATAGCCTCAAAGCGTTTTACTGTTTCCTGCACTGTTCCTGTTGTGGTTGTTTTTCTTTCAGTGAAGAATAAGGTGCAAAAAGATGAAGGGTGATTAAAAAAAAACAAGTGTTGGGTGCACCCAGGCCAAAGAGGGGATTGTGAGAAGAAAAACAGAGCTCTCCCCTCTGGGTTTACAGTGAGTTGGCTTTGGTTTTGCTGTCATCATGAAGCTAGCTTAATACAAAGTCTCTCTGAAGTAGAGGCAGCTACTGCTTTGTGTGGCTTCGGCGGTGTAACAAGTGAGCCCTGGTAAGTATTCACATTCTTACATGTCAAGTAAAGCTGAAGCTGAGCATCCACTTGTCCCTTGGTGTCTAGAAGTATAGAGTAAGTATATTTGCAGATCTGGTACACCAAGTTGTCCCTTGTGATCTGTTTTATTTTCCTGATTTATTGTTTAGGGAAAATGTGGCTTTTCTGCCCATGGGTGCTGTACCAAGCAGCCTCCTCCTTGGAGGTGCCCAAAATAACCATCTGTGATGTTAGGATATAAAACTCACCTGTTGCCTTTGTTTCTGAACATCCATCAGTGGTGGTGTCACCGAACCTTGTGGGGAAGAGGGACCATGTCTCTGCTCCATAAGGACCTCTGTTTATTCCTTGGACCTCACCCTTGGTGCCACTTACCAAGACCTCCTCTGGCTCCACAGACAGTTTTGCCTCTTCTCACAAGAGCTGTTGTCTGGGGAAAGGACCAGCATGGAGGAAATCTGCTAGGCTGTCCTGTCATGGTGGCTGTAGAAATCCTCTAAAGTAAAAATAAAAGTACACAGAGATGCATGAAAAGAAAAGACATGCCATTGCAGACCAGTTATGCCGGTCTGGCAGTGCTGACTGGTGGCTTTGCTGCTGAAACCTCCTCTCTTTGCTGCCCAGT